CCTATTTATCACTAGCTACATTCACAATTGACACATTACATTTTCTATACTCCACTTATATAATTATAAGAGAAGGTAACTCTATAGCTTGATAATCACCAATCCAATCATAATAAGTAAGATTTTGGTAGGATTAAGCCTTTAAAACTAATTGCAATAACGTAGTATTAATTTGTAGAGCTTTACCCCTAATCTAAATTCCTGGCTAAGAACTAAACCTAGTAAACTAGAACTTCTCTTAAGTCTAATTCTCTCATTACCTTTGGGATCGACATTTTAAACTTAAAAAATTGATATTACTGATACAAACAATACACTTGCGTGAGCCCCTAGAGTGTGAGTGCACTTGGAAGTGGTATCACATATCATTTGATCTTTGGATCAAATCTTCTAAAGATTTATTATTAATGACTTGCATACTTATACACAGTGCTATATTCGCTTGAGATTAAGACTTAAAAAAAATATTTGAGTGTGATGGGCTTTAAAATTTTAAATTTTATTTATAAAAATATGTTAGCATTAGTTTTATGACAGTATGGATACAATTCATATTTGGGATGCTTGATTTAATAATCAAGTTGTATGATCAATTCCTCTTAATAAATAATAGTTTATTCTATTTTGCATTTATTGAGACCACAATGCAAGGTTTTACTATGGTTAGATGATTTAGATTGCAACCCTATCCAATTGGGGTTGTAAATCCATTGCATTTTTTTATTTTTTGTGCTTTTTTTTCTTTAGACTAGGATCCTCGAGGTTTCTCATCTTCCAATAAACCTCACTTTAGTCTTAAATTTTCAATGTTGTTTGTCTAGTTACGACATACACCCTCACATTTCAGTATCTTTCATGACCAAAAATTGTGTGATCTAAGTCCAAAGTTTCTACTAAAATCTCAATTGAAATATCAAATAAATCTCTTTCAAATAATTAAAGTCAAAAAATAAGATAGTTGAGAAGTCATCGAGTCTTCTTGGTATCTTCATAGTCTCCTACTTTTCTTCCTTTGAACTTTATAAATAAAATGTCTACATATGAGAATTTTCCTTTTGATAGTTCCAATAATCAATTATGGAAACTAAACTTCAAAAATTCTGGTAGATAAGACTGTAACCATAATCAAAAGTAATATTAAGTGAATCATATTGATTAAGATGTAACTAATTATAGAGTTTACTCTTATAGGATGTTGGAATCCCATATTTATCTAAATACTATCGAATCTTCAAACTGAACAGGGCAAATATTTGTTGGTTTTAATCGTAAACCTTGAAAATATTCAAAATTTTATTATTTAAATAATTGAACCCATCATAAAGTGGTATTTCAATCTTTTAATATGATATATTACTTTTGATGTCGTGTTTTATTATTTAAACAATTAAATCTTTGAACCAGTATGGTTTCATATCAACTCAATTGAAAAATAAAACCAACATAATGCAAGAAATACTTTTTTATAGAAAGAAAGCTATAATGCAAGATTCCCATAAAATTTTGATATTAATTTGAAGTAATTGTGATTATATTTTGTGGTTTTTGGGTGATAGGACATTGATTCCAACCTTAGTAACTTGTCACACCATTCATGAGATGTTATAACAATTTCATCTCTTCAACATTTTAAAACTTTTTTTCACTTATTACATTCTCCTCAACACACCCTTTAATTTATATGGAGTTGCTCTCTTAGCCCCCCACTTTTTTTTTTTTGTTATGTATATTATTATCTTAGATAGAGACAATCTTCCTTTAGCTCTACACAACAAAATTTGTACTTAAATGTCACAAATAACTTCTTTACTCTATTCCTTGTTCTTACAATTTTGAATAAATGCATGCACATTCTATATGTCCATTATTACACCTTTTTAAACTACAGATACAATTAGACACTTAGAATGACCAAAATCAATGATATTTTAAAGGAGATTACATCCACCGATGAAAAAAGATCTTTCCAAAATTCACTTTACCTTAAACCACTTTTAATCGCTATATAATATTCCCATCAATCAAAAATATTTATTCACATTTATGTTAAACCTTTAAGTTCATTACTTCACTGGGTGTTGTACTCAATGCTCGATTCATTAGTATTCAATAGTATGCGCCCACCATTTGATTGAGCTCTGACCCCATGAAATGAATTGCTATTTTTTTTTTATATTTCCTTGATTTTTTTGACCTAACAAAACCCATTTTCCTAGCCTTTTCTAGAAGCATTGGGTGACATCATCAATGTTTAACAAGCTAGGTTTGACCGATCAAATTTGAACTATAACAAATAGCATGATCGCTATATTATATAACACATCAAACATTGATATAATACTGATAGAAGGGCCAAGAATGTATTCCTTATGATTGTTTACTTATCTTCAAATTGTGTTGGTAAGTCATTAAAATCATCCTATGAGGCTCTCCGAAGGCAACATGACGGTCGTAGACATAAGAAAATCAATTTCTCAAATGAGTATCATCAAATCAATCATTGTGTGTGGCATATTAAAGTCGTGATTACATTGAGAAGGTAAGATGGCCATAGATGATGAAAATCTTTAAAGAAGATAATTTTTTCCAGATCTTTTCTGATCCCAGAGAAAAACCAGCAAACCGAAATGAAAATTAGTCTTATTTCTTAACAAAAATTTGCAGTTATCAAATCTAATGAGCAGAAGGTTGATAATAAATTTAAGTTTATAAGGTCGAATGTTTGGAATAATTGCTGAAAAATTAATTAGGTCTTGAATAAGTCCAACAAAAATCTACAATCACTTCCCATTAATTTTATGTAAATTAACTCCATTCTGTAAAACCAGTATTTGGGCATAAATAAAGGAGTAAACATAAACATGAACTTTTTAAAATAAATGTACAATTATATATTGGCGTCAACAGGATCGAAAAGCATCCGTTGCCGGTCGTATTAAGGCGAGTATTGGGGGCAATTGCGTCATTCTCTCTTCTGGCCACTTGTATGCAGTATGCCGACCAAAGCCAAGTGCAATCAGTTGTATGGTCGACAGCTTCATGCATAATGCATTAGTTGCTGTATAGGACCTATCACATGTATTTTTTTTACTTTTTTTATTTGTCCTCTATTTGACCAATTAGAGTAAAATGAAACATCGATTTGATCCTTCAGACCTAATTTTATTTTGTTTTTACATTAAAAAGTCTAAGAGGAAGATACAAATTGAAGAAAATGATTATTTTAAAGTTATAATGTCATAAAAATAATTCTTATGTTCGATGACTTGACATTTGAATGACGGTCTGAAACACACCAAATTACTATACAACATGTTATAGTCCACATTACCCTAATCTCTCATCTCTTGACATCCATGCCATCAACTCCTGATAAATTACACTTAGTGCAAAGCAATAATTCATTTTTCCATCACCAAATATATATTGGTATGACTCATATACCATATAGGGACAGATGTTGAAACGAAGCGGAGCCCACGAGTGGAGTGGAGCGGAAGAATGTGTCCAATCGGGAGAGTTTTATTATGTAGGTTGGCGGTGCAGGGGCAACACCCCGCGGTCTAGTACATGGGTAATTTAAGTAATTACATATTGTACTATAGGGTTATATATATGTTATGTTTGTAACCCTAGGTGAGTCTCTGAGTCTCTGAGATTCTGAATTTTGTATTCTGTACTCTTTTCTGAATATTGAAAAGGAGGTCGCCGATATGCTCCCGAGGATGTAGACATCTTTGCTGAACCTCGTAAATATTTGTGTGTTCTTCTGGATTTGTGTGTTCTTCTGGATTTTGTTCTTCTGGATTTGTATCGATTCTTGTTTTTCTTCGCCCTAATTTCTTAACAAGTGGTATCAGAGCTAGACTCGATGGGAAGAAAATTTTCGGCGGTGCAGGAAGAAAGAAGATTTGAAGAAAATTTGGCAGCTAGATATCAAGAATTCCAGGTGTTCGGCGAATTGCGGCTTGCGAGAAGATCGGGAGGCGCAAAAGATTGCTTGTCTCCTTTCCGGTCTGCGAACAAGCGGATCGCATGGGTTTGTGAACAGAAGGATCGCGGCAGAGAGCTTCGTGGTGCGGAAGGCTTCGGTGCGGAAGGCATCGGTGCAGAAGGTTGCTGGAGAGTTGTCCGGCGCGGGAAGGAGCGGAGGATCGCTGCTACAGGGCCGAGTTCGCAGACGCATTGTTCCCGCAAGAGCCAAAAGGAAGAGTTCGCGTCGTGGGAGGGACGTTCGTGCTTCTATTTCGGCGACAGAAAGGAATCACGAATCAGGACTCTGCGAGTTCGAGCGGAAGGAGGAATTGGAGGCATGATCGAGGCGGAAGCGGAGGAATTTCTTTCGCGATTTCCATTCCTGTCTGTTTACTAGAGAAGGAGAATCAATTTCCATTGTTGTCTGTTTGTTGTGGAGGCAATTCTGAATTAGGAGAAATTGGAAGGAAATATTTCATTCCTTTGCGGGTTGAGCGGAGGAAAGGTTGCGAAGAAGAAAATTCGGAAGGATTTTCGAATTTTTCTTTGGCTGGTGCTAAATTTCCTTTGCAAGAGGCGGAGCAGAAACATAAAGAATTTTTTATTTCCTTCGCTGGAGCGAGCGGAGAAAACTGCGGAGAAGTAAATTTGGAATATTCTTCAAATTTTGCGGTGCAGCGGAGCTATTCCAGGACGCCGAAAAAAAAATTTCAAAGCAGAAGAAATTTTGGAAGGAAAGCGAAGCGGGGTAATTGGAATATGATTTTCTTTTCTTTACTGGAGCCGCGAAATATTTTCTTTTGGTGGATTTCCTTCGGCGGATCTGCGGAAATGAGATTTCTTTTGTTGGAGACTGAAGAAAGAAAATGATTTGAAATCCAATTAATTAAATGAAATATTTAATTAAGGGAATATTTCAATTCTTTTTTTGGAAAGATTTTGTTACTTCTCTGGAAAACTTAATTAAGGGAAAATCATTTTTCTTGGAAACTTAATTAAGGTGAATTTAATTAAAGACTCTCATATTTAGATATATACATGAACTTCCTTCCATAAACCTCATGAAGCAAACCTCTCTTTCTCCTCGTCCCATCCTTGTCGCTCCATAGAGAAGAACCACGAAAGAAGAGAAAAAAAAATGTCAAAGATCCAGTGCCACAAACCCTGCAACACAACTCTGAAACTCTTCGGCTTTGCCCTCCAAGCATCCGTCGATCCCTCCCCGATATCCGATTCGTCCTTCTCCACCTCCACGGCCTCACTCGCCGCATCCGAGGGACGAAAATTCGAGTGCCAATACTGCTTCCGTGAGTTCACCAACTCCCAAGCTCTCGGCGGCCACCAGAACGCCCACAAGAAGGAGCGCGAACAGCAAAAGCGCGCCCAGCTTCATCATGCCGCCGCTTCATCTCTCTACACGCGCGCCAATCCAATCCCCTCTTCCTTCACAACCCCGCAGCCTCTCCTACCGGCCCACAAACCCGCCGCAGCATCCCCGCCGGCCACCGCCTATTTTTACTTCTCTCGTCCGTCCTTCCAACTCACCCATAGCAGAGCCTTCCCGCCCGCTCCGAACACGCTGCCACGAATCCGGTCCGGACCGGTTTCGCTGGGCCGATTCCCTGCTCCGACCAACGCTGCCGGCTCTGACAGCTCGTATGGAGTAGACCTTCATCTCAGCCTGGCGCCTGCCAGTTCCAGAATCGCATGATCCGTCATTCGTACCATCAATATTCTTGTACATCTTATTTTTATTTCCTTAATTTTGAACGCATTATGATTATGAATTTCATATTAATTAGAGTTATGATTTTATTTCTTATTGGTGTTTATTTTTCATTTCTTTGATTTTCTAAATAGGAGCTTCTTAGTTCTAAATTCGACCGAATACTTCTCATATATTATGCTTTAATGCATTGATTTATGTGACATTATCTAAAGAAAGATTGAATGAATGAATTAATGGTGGATTAATGTTATATTTTGAATCTCCTAGTTAATCATGGCTTTATGAGTATTTAAATCTATTGAATGAAAAGGATACTATTCATTTTAGTATTATAACATAATATTCATAATGGTTTTATTAGTTAATATTTACAATGTTAATGTTATTGTCGAGATAATCAGATGGTCATATCAGTGCAAAAAATCTACATTTATTCTTACGAATTTTGGAACGGATCTCTCGAATGTTTTTCTATATATATATATATATATATATATATGATACCATTAATTCACAACTCTTCATTTATAAATTAATTTAAATCATTTAATCCCTACGAAAATAAACAAAGGGCCTTTTTTTTGTTGTGCGTGTGTTACTTAATTTCTAGGACATGTTTTGCCCTCGGCTCTTCTAAAATTTTAAAGGAGAAAAACTCGAAAAAGTTTAACACACACATAAAAAGCTTTTTTATAATTACAATTATCATTTTTATATTAAATCTATTAGCTCGTGTTCGTATAAATCCAAACAATATTAAAACTTTAAACGTAAAATGGTTTAAAATTAATAAATTCCTTAAATATTAAATAATATATTATTATTTAGCTTATACCATTATATAATTTTTTTTTAGAAAATTCATATATTTTTTCAGTATGTGTATACTAAATTACCTTTTAATTTAGTTACATAAATTATCTTGATGATAATCTAACGAATAAAAATTATATATTATTTTGATTGTTGTGCCATTAATCAAGTGCTTATATATTTTTTAAGCAAAGCGTGTACTAGCAATGATTTTTTTTTTATATATAAAAAAGGTAATGTATCCCTATATATTTTTATGTTAAAGAAGAGCTAAATGTCTATTTCAGGGAGAGACATGGAAAGAGACGACTCCACTGGCACAATAAATAATGAATAACACCAAGAAATTTTATTTCCAAGAAATAATAGTCGAGTGAATGGGTATGGACGTGGTCCTACGACCTCAATGACTGAACAAATGCTCGATTCATAGTAGCAATGAAATTATCAACGGACAACTTTTCTAACGAATGAAAAATTTAGTTGAATTGATTTCAAAAATATTAATTAAAATATTGAACAAATATGTATTTTCATTTATAATTTGTTTTTCTTGTTGGAAAAAAAGAGGAGAACTTTTTTTAGGCCAACATGAGATGTATCCTATATAACATAAAAATAAGAATGAGTTATAAAAGCCATATAATTCTTATGATTTTAGGTATCATACACCTATATTATGAAATTTATTTATCTATGTTGGATCCTGATTTATCTGTGAATCACACCTCAAGTCTTAGAATGTCAAATGAGAGAGAGAGACAGAGAGAGGGAAAGAGAGAGAAAGG